TCGACAAGTACGGAATGAACCTCATGAACCCGGTCTGCTCTGCCACCATCATCCTCGAAGCTATCTCTGGTACGACGACCACAGGCACACAGGCACACGCACACGCACCACGAAAAGATGAGACTGCCAGCTGAACGTTATGATGATTCTTCGTGAAAAGGTGTCATTCAGCCCGAGGCCGTCGATTACATCCGCAACCTGTTGCGTCACGAGCGATACACGGGCTACACGTCCTTCGGCTTTGGTCTCCCGCCCGCCACGGTCATCCGGTCCAAGGTCAGTCACGCGAACCTTCTGGACGCCACACCACATCGCATCTAAAGCTAACCCCTGCGTGTGCGTGTGCGGTGATGCGTGTGCGTAGATTGGTGACGCGTACGACACGGTGGAGGAGATCGCGCACATCTGGCTACCCAACGGGCGCGAGTTCATCCTCACCGCCTTTTCCAACGGATACGAGCCCAACCAGCCCAACCCGTACGACGTCAGGTACCGCTCCTCATTTTGTTCTCAATTTGTTTTTTTAATTGATTTTAATTTTATTAAAAGGTGCATTATATTTTTATGCCACCACCAGCGTGCTTGGTCTGTTCGCCGAGACCTTCCTTGAGAATGTGCCGGAGCTCAATGCCGGCCTGCCTCCCCGCATTCGCCTCGGTACCATCAGCGCTCCTTCGCCTTTCTTCGGCTCTTACATCGCTGAGCGTCCCATCCTGTGGCGGCGATGCAGACGCCACGGACAAGTCGTTCTTCACCGTGGGCAAGTGGCAACGCGCCATCGCCCCCGGCACCTACGGCTCCTTCTACGCCTTTGCCAATGAGGGTGCGAACGTGAGCGCTGGTTGGGACGCCCACTTCGACGAGGCGGGCATGTACGAGGTGTCGGTGTGGCACCCGGAGTCCGATGGGTTTGCCGCCACGGCGACGGCTACGATCAACCACCTGCACGGCGCCACCGAAGCCACCATCTACCAGCGAAGCTAGTAAGTGGCAACACACGACACACGACACACGACACACGACACTCACACACGACACACGCGTTCTTTTGCAGCGGAGGACGCTGGGTGTACTTGGGCGACTGGAACTTCCCGGCGGGCCTGAACAAGGCGGCCCTGGTCGTGT